CTTAGAGTCATTCTTATGACAAATATTATGTAAATTGCAACCTACAGTTGTTTTAAACTCATCAAATAATCTCTCCAAATATTGTTATCCATTATTAAAGTAAAGAACAGCTGACGCCACTCCAATACATATGGCAATTCTTTCAACAAATATATCTGTTGGACACCACTTCTAAATCAATGGATTCAGCGCCTCATTGGGATTCTGTGTTTTGCCGTGCAAACACATTTTTAAAAGAACATTATTACCAAGATCTATAAATATTGGTTTTATAAAATCCCTCACAGTAGCAGAAATAAAAATATTTTCTTTGTAAATGTTTTTCAAAGTTACTATATCAGCCTGGAATCTGCACTTCAATCAAAAAATATTATAACGTTATTTGAGAAACACAACGAAATAACAAGTGTATAAAATTATAGTCAACAATCTACAGCAATATTAAGCAAAAGTCTTCATCAGCAGGCTTGGTCAGGAAGGCGTGCAATCGCACGCCATTATATGACCACGCAAATAATACTTTATTTTGATGATTTATATAAAATAGGCTGAAAAAAATTATTTTTAATTACGTCAAAAATAAACAACTTGGAAACTTTTATCTTTACTAACGTTTTTATATTAATGAAATGCTTTTAAATAAAGTAACAGTTACTGTTAACATTTTAATTTAAAGTATAGATGAAAGTTGTATAAATTTTTATTTATATCATTTAAATATATATAAGATTATATAATTAATAAATAAAATAATATATAAGATTTTTTTTATAATTAATCTTATTTATTTTTTAATTATTTAAATCTTATAAGCGACAACTTTAAACAATGATTGTCTCATTAATAAACTTTTTAAGAATCATTAAAGTTAATACACTTGAAAAGATTTTGTTGAATAAAACAACAAATTGTCTTTTTGAATTAAAGACAGCCGTTTGAGTTAAATAACTTTAATCTTTACTAATGTTTTTATATTATTAAAATGCTTTTAAATAAAGTAACAATTCACTGCTAATGATTTTTTACATAAAGTATTAATGTGTTTTTCTTTAGCCTTTAACTAAAAAAATTATCAATTAAAGTTAACAAATTAAATTATTAGCAAATTAAATTAAATTATCAATTAAAGGAATAGTTTTGTTCATTATTTTTTGTTCTCATCTTCATTTTTCCTCATTTGCTTTTTGATAATGGATTTCTTACAAAAGAAACGATTTAATTATTTTTCTTTTGTTTAGATTACTACGAAAAATTGTAAAGTTTTTTGTTGTTGTTGTTGTTATCTTTTAAATGTGCGTATTGAAATGACGACTAACAAAGAAAAATTCTTTTTCTTTGTTAGTCGTCATGTTTGTCAAACTTGTTTTTTTTTTTTAAGGATGAGGGGGGGGATTCCTTTTCACTTCAAAAAAAGAAAAAGCATTTAATTAAAAAAAAGTTTTCTTGTTATGTTTAATCATTTTTTTAAAAAATACCACTAATGTGCAATAAAAATAAAAGTGTTTATTTACATTTTTTTGTCGATTAGTCTATTTATTTTTTATTTTTTTTACTATTAATATAATTTTATGTGGTGCTTTTTTTTAAATATGTTTATTTTTTTAAATTTCTTTATAACTAAGTTAAAATAAGTTTCTTCAGCGCTTTATTAAAATGTTGAAACTGTGGTTAAATCGTCAAAACAAAATATTATTTGCATGGTCATATAAAGCCATGAAATCGCATGTCTCCCTGACTAAACCTGCCCCATCAGCCTACATCAGTAGTAAGCAAAAGTTCTCATCAGTCCACACCAATTGTAAGCAAAAGTCCTCATCAGTCTACATTAGCAGTAAGTGAAAATCCTCACCATTCTACATCAGTAGTAAGCCAAAGTCTTCTTCAGCCTACATCAGCAGTAAGTGAAAGTCCTCATTGTTCTACATCAGTATTATACCAAAGTCCTTATCAGCCTACATCAGCACTAAGCAAAAACAATGTATACGTATTCCTTTAACTTCAGTTCTTTTAAAAAGAAAAAAAGAGAAAGTCAAACTAACAAAAGACAAATATCTAGAAAATGCTGCGTGAAAATACCCTTGCAAAAGAAACATTAAAAACAAGTTACTCTCGCTTCTTTATTGAAACCTTCTTTTAAGTCACGCATTTGTCAATAATGAAAAACTGGGCACCCTCTCATAATTTTTCAGACATTATTGAACTTATTGCTGCGTATGGTTGTAATGAAGTTAAGGTGCATGTTTTGTCTAGCTCAGCAAATGCAACATTCATGTCTCTGGAATATATTGCTAAGTATATAAACATTATCTTTGATTTTGTCAAAACTCCAGTCACTTAAATACGGTGGGAGTTTTTCTTTTTATTTGGATAAAACTTCTGATATTACTTTGATTAAACAGTTAACTATACATGCCACTTTCGAACACAAGGGCATCGTAAGAAAACATTTTATAGGGATAGTTCCTTTAAGTAAGCTCACTGGTTCTAGTCTATCAGCTCCAAATGTTTTTCATGTTATTCAAAAATTTTTCAGAGCTAATATCTCATTTAAAAATGCTCACTTTGTACCATGTATCATACAAATTTATTAATTTGGGCCAGTTTTTACATTTACAATCAATAACTGGAATGGTATTAATCCTAATACCATCTTTTACTCCATTTTTGGGATCCTTAATTAGAGTTTTTCTTGTTTCCAAAATCTTAATAACAACAATTGTGTTGCATGAAGATAAACAGAATAAATCTGTTTATCTTCATGCAACACAAACTTATCAACCCCAGATGAAATATAGGAAACATTTACTTTAAACTATAAGATTTAAAAAGAAAATATATACAAAAAACATTATAAAAATGCCAAACAATTAGACATGATTGCCATCATTGTGGTAAGCATAATTACTCAGTTTTTTATACAAGACAGCTCAACAATAAAGCAGCAGTATTACAACAAACAACAAAAACACATATATATTACAATTGTATATATAATATATTTTCAGAAATTGAAAATCATAACAATGCAAGTTTTACATTTAAATGCATTAACATTTTAGACTTCAGAAAATTATATTAAAAAGAATTAAGAATTTTTTTTTTTTTTTCAATTTAAATATACTTGGATTTATATATATATACACACACTTACTAAAGCGTGTTTTGATAAGCACTTTTTCTGCTTACCTTAAGCTATACCGTTTTTTTCGAAAAAGAAGAAAAAACGATGAATGATGAATGAAACGATCACTTCTTCATCCCAAACCCTCAGTCGATGTAGCAATTCGCTGCGAGTCAGGCTATTTGTCAGTCGATGTATGTACTGAAGCCCCCAGCAGCAGGCTATTTCAGTATGACGTCAGATTGCTTACAATAGTACGCAATACTATTTGTATATATGTATATATATATATATATATATATATATATATATATATATATATATATATATATATATATATATATATATACACAGTTATATATATATATACAGTTATATATATATACAGTTATATATATATACAGTTATATATATATATACATATATATATATATATATATATATATATATATATATATATATATATATATATATATATATATATATATATATATATATATATATATTATACAGTTTTTATCATACAACCAAAGTTTACAGCCTTATTTTCAATAGGTTAAATTTTTAAAATTCTGCAAAGTATTTGCATTTAAATCCTTTAAAATATTTTTGACGTTTAAACTGCTACCACAGTTTAGGAGGGAGAGGGGTTCTGGTATATGTGATTGTTTGTGACAGGAGGGAAGGGTTTAGGAATTGATAAAATTAGGGTGATGTGCTTTATGGATGACCCCACTTAATTGCATTTATAAATGATTTGTTTTAATAAAACAAAAATAAAAAAGGTTTTAACTGATTTTTTTTTATATTAAGATAATAGCAAATAAACAAAGCTTTATCATGTTTTTGTTAACTTACAATACATGAAAATTGAAAAAGTTCTTGCGTTATTTTCTTGAAATATATATTTTTTATAAAGTATCTCTGACCATAAAATCTGACCAATAACAATTTGAACATGTTAGCTCCATTTTCACACTAAATTAATACCGATTATGCAAATAAATTCATGGGTAAAATAACATTTTACAACAGTATTTTTTTTATCATGCGACAATGAGAAAAACCGTAACTTTCGGAAGCATAAAAATGACTTAAAAATATTAATTTTAGTACTAAAGGTATATTTTAATTAAACTTTCATGTGTCTACATCAATGTTCTTGATGTTATATATATATATATATATATAAATTTCTAAGGTTTTAATATATTACCCTTGTTTATTCTTTAAAAGTTATAAGTAAAAATTGAAAAGTTTTAAAAAAAGAGCAGCCGTGGCGCAGTGGTAGTGCACTTGCCTCAGAAACAAAGGATCCAATCCATGGCTCAAACCCCACCTCTAGGCAGGTTTTGCAGCATTGGTTAGGAAGGAGGCGTGAACTTCCAATTAAATGCTCATCCGTGGTGCTCTGTTATAAGACTGTAAGGACTTCTTGGGGCACTTAAATAAAATAAAATAAAAAGTTGAATAATGTTCAAGTCAATTGAATAATGTTCAAGTGTTTTACCAAGAATGAAATTAATCTTTTATAGAATATACGATATATTTTGGTATTTTTTTGTAAAAATCAAAATTAATGTAAAATTAATTTAAAAAGAATAATAAAGAAAGGTTTCTTTCATTTTTTGTATGAAGTAATATAAAATCTATAAAACTTTTATATCTTTTATAAGTTTTGTAACTTACAAGATATTACGAGCTTAGATAACTTGCTATGTAGCTATACTTGAAAGGTTCTAACATCAAGTCAAATCAAATTTTTTAATGCTCTGTATTAGAATTTGTTAAAATTTTATATATTAAATTTTAAATACTTTATGAGTTTATTATTTATTAAATTACTTTTTGAATCAGATAGTGCTTACATATTTTTCAGCATTGTGAACTGGATGGTCATAAACTTGAGCTGAAAAAGTCTCATAGAGAATCAATGTAGGTTTATTTTATTTACTGCAAAAGAATTGTTCATAAATCATTATAATATTGTTATTAAGTGCATTGAAATTATTGTTCATGAGTCAGTATAATATTGTTATTTAGTGCATTGAAATTATTTTTATGATCAATAGAATATGAATTTTTATTTTATGAGGACATTTAAAAATGATGACACTTTTTCCAAATGTTTAAATACTTTAAAGAATATAATTTTATAAAGTTTTATTATAAAATGATACAAATTATAGAAAAATTTGCATTTTAATATAAATGTTATATGCAAAATATCTATGAAATGTTTTTCTAGAGTAGTAAACATCCACATTACACTTTTGCATTAGAATGAGTGTTGTTAAATTATTTAATAATTACCTAAAATCTAAATAAATTTAAAAGCCTTTGTTATCTATTTAAAAAATTTAAAACAAAATTGACCTGTATTTATATTCATAAAATCTTAACAACATACGTTAAAACAACAAAATCTAAATTACATACACTAAAACAACATAAAATCTAAACTACATACATAAAATCTAAACAACATACACTAAAGAGCAATTGCAATTGGTATTAATTAATGCAGCATTGAATTTGCTTTTGTTTTGGCTATTTAATTACTCAATGTGATATCATTACAATAGTCAGGAGTTATCTGGTATTTACAAATCAAAATTATCATACCAATAGATGGCTATCATCATGCCAAAATGATATGCTAGAACAGGAGTAGTGTCAAGGTTTCACAAAATGTTGGAGTCATGAATTAAATATCAGAGTGGCAGACTATTTTTTTCTCAGGGTTTTTTCAGGGCCAGGTAATGTTTCTTCTCTCACTTCATCTTGTGCCGAAAATAAAATAACAAGTTATTTCAATTTACTCCAAAAAAAAATTTCTTGAAGCACACATCAACAATAACAATTTGTGCAATGTGTAAGGTTTGGGATTTTGACGAAGAAGGATTTTCAGGTAATCAAAACAATAAGACATATAATTTGCAGATGCTAAAAGCCCTTTGAAATTTAATGATAACAATGAAAAAGTTAATTATACAGTCTGTAATTGTGTTAAAGCTGCTAATATCATTCTTCATAGTTTGCACAACAAAATCATTTCTATTCAAAGGCTAGTGTGTAGAGGGATTACTAAACATTGTATTTTTAACATCCAACTCTGGTTGAATAGAAGAGAAACAACTATTTAATTGCTAAATTAAGTATTAATACCAGCACTTGTCGACTTAAATTAAGTAGTTTGAATAATCAAATAATTAATTGCAACATTTGTTATAATTTTCAATCATAATTTATCAGTATATAATAAATATTTTTCAATCAGTTCAATCATCTTTTTCATCAATAATCATTGGCGTCAATTATTTATTAGCACTTTAATTAACAATTTAGTCTTTAATTATTGGCACCATGTAACATAAGATTTATTTAAACCATTATTATACGTAGAAACAAAAACCAGAAAAACTTATTCTTTTTTTTAGCTAAGTGATTTTTTGGGGCTCTGAAAGGTAATAAAATGCCCAAATACGGACATATTTTTAAATTACAGGTATTAATACCAAAATTAGTATCATTTAAACCTAACCTAATTTTAAGATGGCGAACTTGTTGCTTGTACTAATTGAAAATCCGTAAATATAAAAAGAAAATCAGTATGTAACCTGTCTGTATTGTTAGCAACTTGAATCAACAAACTCTAGTCCCTATATGGAAGAATACACTTACATTTATATGCTCTAAAAATGATAAACCCATGATAAATACATCAGTATCAGGCGAGTAAATTACAAACTTCAAGAAACCTGCTGAGAATGCTTGAAACATATGAAGAAAAAATCTAGTCTTCTTCCTGTACTGTGTCTAATTCCTCGACCAGTATACCTATTATTGAAAGTTTATAACATCTATCTTTACTTGTAACAAAAAAAGGAACGGTGTTTTCTGTTCTAAAGTAATTATTTCTACCCCATTCATTTACAAGAAACTGAATCATTTCTGTCTTATTACTTCCACCTAAAAGAAACTCATTCCATTTTAACTGGGTGAACTTTTTTGATACTTTTTTGATACTTTTATGATACTTTTTTGATACTTTTTTGAATTTTATGAAATCTTTTTTTTTTTTGAATAAATGCTGATGTTTGTTTTTTTTGTACTGCATCTTTAATTGAATTTTCTGTGTATGTATCAAATACAACATCTATGCGGTCTGTATTAACACTTAGATTCAATATCTGCAACAACTTTGGTGACCAAAAGTTAAAGCTGTAGTTTTAGCTTGTGGTACAGTCATACCATTAATCAAACTAACACAGTGGAAAAGTTCATCAGAACAAGGTTCTGTGTCTTTTTCTAGTTCAAAAAGGATAGAAACTTGATAATGTTTTTCTTAGGCCACCCATGTAATCTGTTAATGATAGTGGAAGGAGTCCTAATGAATAGTTCTTAAATCCAATTTTCCTCTTTCCATGATTAAACACATAGTGTAATCAACTTGAGGGTCAACCTGGAAAAGATTTGTAAAAAGCTAGAACCGCAATTTTATGTACATTTAGCAGGAAAAAGTCCACCAAATAACGTGTTGGGCAAAATTATTTACACTATTTTTTGTCGCAATAACTTTTTGTGGAATAACGTCATTTTTTAACACTCTCATTTAAAAAAACACTAAATGTCTAAATGGTTTTTCTATTTATTAATATGTCATCAAAAATAATAAATATATAATGTATTATATATTTATATAATTGGTAATTTTTATATATTATGTATTTATAATACAATACATCCCCATCGACACCAGGGAGGCCAGGAGGTGCGCCCACCCCCACCCCCACCCCCACACTTTTTTTTTTCTTTTTTCAGAAATTTAGATTTTTTTCAATATTTATGCAAATGTAAAAAAATTTAAAAATTTAGATTTTTAATGAGTATAATACACCAAATACAAATGCAAAATGATTTTATTCAAACAAATTGAACCACTTATCAAATATGTTTCTATCTTCTACTTCATCGACGTTGTCTTCCTGATTATTGTTATCAAACAAAGACATTGAATTGTGACAATCTATTCCATGACACTGTATGCAAGCACTCATGCACCTAATACCATGCTTTTTACAAGGACAAGCGTTGTTGCAAGGTTTCTTTGTTGTAATACTACAGTTACATTAGATAATGTTAAGAATTTGCTCTGGTGCTCTAGCCTAAAATGAAATAAAATTTTTTTAACTTATTTTACATATCGAATAACATATAACATAACATAAGTTACTCAATCAAATTTTCTTTTCTTTTTTTTTTCTTTACCTTATCTGTCATTATTGGGACCAAGATATTGCTTTGATTTCTCCATCCCCACTCAGTTGGTTCAAGTTCAATATTTAACCATTGCAAAATCTGCAAGTGCACTCTTAAAGAATGATATATTATAGCATCTTCTGTTGGTGGAAGTCTTTCTAGTTGAATATCTTTAAAGGATGATGTTGCCATTTGCATATACTTATATTTTCTCATCAATGTAAGGCTTTCTTTTTCGTTGTTTCCACCTAAGATTTGATTTTCAAAAAAATATAAAAATAGTTTTATTTTTTAGTGAATCTTTTTTTATCATAATTAATCTTTGAAACGCTCTACATTACCATAAGCTTTTATAGCAAATTGTATTCCAGCAGATGAAACTTGTTCTTGTGTTGCAAAAGGGTCGTTGAATACAAGACAAACTTTTTTAATTAAAATGCTGTTTTGTTCTACTAGCTTCATGGCAGCAGTTTTTCCTTGCCTAAAACATGAAGATGTTGTATCACATCCGCCCCAAGCATGAATAAATGGTAGATTGCTTCTTACATGAGTTGGCAATAGTGAGATAGTGAGTTTCTTGCACACTGATCAATTCCATGTCTTTTTTGATGCCTTTACAAGCTTCATGATGTATGAAAACATTGCTCATTGATGGCTGCCACATGTTTAAAAGTAAAACAAGTATGTCTGTATCATGCTGATGACAATAAACAGTAAAACAACGAAAGTATGATTTCCTTGGCTTGCATTTTCAAGACTATAATTTTATCAGCGTCATCTTCCCATCTAGTGCAATCATGACCATGTAATATCAAAGCACTTGATAAGAAGCTAATTAAATTAGTTTTATTGTTTTTTTTTTGATAAAAAATCGGCTTGCTTGCAGTTAATTTGTGTTAGAAGATGGAGAGCAAGACCTGGAAATTTTACTTTTACTTGTCTGTGATGCTCATGATCTTTCGTCAAAAGTTTGTAGCCATCAAAAATAACAGTTGTATTTTTTTCATATTTTCAGTCAATAATAGCAATACTGTTGAACTATATCACTAAATGTAGAAGGAATTTTCCAAAAGACTTTGTGCAGTAATACTCCCCCATCTAAAACATAGTTGGTTTTGTTTAGCTCATTTGATTGTTTAGTTAAAGAATTACATAGAAGGACTTTACTAAGTAATGCTTTATTGGATTTCCTCATAAGACCATCTTTAAAAAGCGATGTTAGTTCAGGTGTTAGCTCATACTCAAAGCAACTTGTAATGTCTTCTGATCATTCAGCATAAGTCTTTGAAAAGAAACAGTTGGGTTCACATGAATTGTTTCGTTATTAACTTTAATTCCAGGGTGTAATGTTATAAGACTTTTAGCTTTTGCAGAACTTTTTACAACAGCTTTGGTAACAACAACATTGTCAAGATCTATTTGAATCTTTAATCTTTTCAAGATCCATTTGAATCTTCTATCTTTTCGGCATTATCACAGTTTATACCATCACTTTCAGCGGCAGTTAATCCCGTAAAAATGCATCGCAGTCTTGGATCTTGGCAATTAAATGGATTATATGGATGAAGTTGTTCTATTATGACTTTGAGATCTTTTTCATCCATAGTTTGTCATGCATCACCACACTCTGTGTGTTGCAGACTGGTTGTATAATCTTGGTTGGTGACCATTGT